GAGAGAGAGATGGATAAATACCTGTATCCATGATCCTCCTTTGACACTCCCTATCCTTTGCACAGGTCTGAGAAGAAAAGCAACCTTTGTCGTATCTTGTGCCCTCTGCTGGCAGAGTGACAAAATAGCCAACCCTCTCATTTATTCGTGCTGCTTTTGAAGTAACTAACTCCACCTAGCCTTTTCTTTCCTGTTTCCTGGGGTACATTTCAGAGCTTCTTTGTTCTGTATCTCTTTTTCCGCTGACCCCATCCATCCCTCTGGAACTGCTCCAGATCAGCTGCCTCCACGGCAGTATAATCCCGTTGTATCCTCACGGAGACCTTTGTGACATAGTTCCTTCTGGATACTGTGCTTGCTCCTTTGTGTCTCTCGAAACCCTTCGTTCCAGAACTAGAGCAGTGGTTCCCAACCTTCCTCACGCTGTAACCCTTTAATATAGTTCCTCATGCTGTGCTGACCCCCAACCATAAAATGATTTGCTTGCTGCTTCATAACTGTCATTTTGCTACTTTAAGATCGTAATGTATATATCTAATATGTAACATATCTGATATGTGATGCCCCCACACAGGTTGAGGACTACTGTCATATGGAGCGTTTTGGAGCCCAGAGCCAAGCAGAGAACTCTGGGGGACATGTTCTAAGTAGAACAAGATGTCCTGTTTGGTGCATTTCTGAGTGAAGCAATGTTGTCAATGGTCAGAATTTCATTCAGTCTTGTCCTGTATCTTTTCCTTCCATCCATACTGAGCTTGGCCCCTCCTGAAGAGAAATTTTTCTCATTTCTTCATCTCTACTGACCAAGGAATCCAAGGGCTCCTTCAAGACTAAACCCTGGCACTGCTTCTTAAAAACTATTTTACTTTTTCATCAAAAATACAAATATTCTGGGGCCCAAGAAGATGGCTGAACTGATAAGGGCACTTGTCGCTCACCCTGGTGACCTGAGCTGGAGCTCAGGGACCAACTTGGTGAAAGAAGGAAGGGGCTCCTTTGAGTCGTTATGCACCGTGGCATGCATGTACACATGGATGTGCTCTCTGTCTCGCTCTCTCTAATTGTTTTATATATCACTGAATAAATCAATTAATTAGTTAATAAAATAAATATTTTTAAAGATCCAGAGAGGCTGAGTGGGCAGCCAGAGATGATAATAATAATAATAATAATAATAATAATAATAATAATAATAATAATTCTGACCCTGCAAAAAGTGTGGCATGTATCTTACATATTACTATTATCAGATGCAGCTTACCTTCTAAGAAGTGAATGGAAAAGGGAAGGGGAATTTGCACTAGGGAAGCTGTCTAGAGACTAGGCAAGGTGGCTTCTTTAGGACAGGTCAGAAAAGCTTCCCCTTCTGGGGGTTAATTCCTGGTAAGAGAACTGTCAGAGCCTGGACAGGCTAATTAGCAGGCGGCGGCAGCTCCTTCTAAAATGGAATGCTCCTTAGCAGGCAATCTTGTCTTTTGGCGTTTGGTGGCGAACAAGGTGCAGTTGCACATAAAACAACAAAGATGAAGTAGGAAGTCGACAGAGGCCCTTTCCCCAGAGCCCACTGGACTCGGCCATAAACCCTGAAGGGAAGCAGTTTAACTGGGTACTTAAGGTTTCCTCATGGTGCTAAGCAGAGGGGCCAAGCCTTAGAGTTGCTTGTGCATGTGTGAAATTCACACTAAATTACAACCACTTTTCATTTGGTTTTGGAAAACAAAGCTGTTCAAAGTGCTGCATGTGTGAAAGATGAGAGCCTTCGAATTGCTCCCGATTAACCGCTCAAAGAGAGTTCCGGCCATGTGACTTTCCCTGGAAGGGGGGGGGAGTCCTGGAGACTCATTTGAGCAGCTGCCTATCACCCCTTTTGCCCTTGGCTATATTGACGCCACGGGAAAGCAAATTGCAAAGAGAACTCTGGAATTACAGAGTGTAGTATCTGCTAGGTGATACTTTCCGGCAGACACCTTTTGAGAGCTACAAGAGAATGAGAATGCATCGTGGCCTGAGGCTTTACGGAGGCCTGGCAGTGACCCGGACAGGTTGCATCTGGTTCAAGTTGCTAGATTAGTTGCAAACTGACTCTCACCACTCAGTCACCCTTTTTACTAAGAGGAGAAAAAAATAACCCACAAGATTACCACCCTAATAGCAGCCATGCCCTCACTCCTGGGACATTGAAATTATCATGCTTGTACTGGAAAGACTGCTGCAAAGTGACAAGGTAATAACAGCGTTCTCAAGACAGAGCTCCCAAGTCGTCTCGAAATTACTAGCTACTCTGGGTAATTAAAACAATTATAATTGTTTGTTTCCATGAAGTGCTTAGCACTAAATCCATGCAGTGTGCATGAGGCACAACCAGGTTCCAAATGGCTGTTGGGAGTTTTCTTCTAAACTTGAAATCAATTCTCTCTCAAGTAATGTGATAAACAGGAGACCATGGAAGCCATTCGAAACTCCATGCTCCGAAGCCTCGTTCTACGAGTGTGGAAGCTGAGATGCAGTCCAAGGAAGACCCCTGCCTGGGGGCTATCAGAAAGTGAGTAGCCTGCCTAGCAATGGAACCCAGGCCCCCGGGAATGTGCTCATGTCAGACCATCAAGAGGTTCTAAAATATAAATGGAACAGTAACAGTTAAGCATATGAATGATAAGACAGAAACAAGCAGGGTCTCATGAATGTGCTCTGCTCTTGATCTGTCCCTGCATCCCCACACCTGAATGGCCTTTTTCTGAGTTACTCTCTCCTGTTCACTGGGGCTCAATGACACAATCATCCTTTCTCACCAGTGGACTGTAGTGTTGATTCTCCTTTCTTTTCTCCTGCTTCTAACTCTGGTGCCTCGCTTTTTCCATGACATCCCTCTTTATTTGCCCCTGCTTCTGATCTCTTCCCTCCTGGAAACAACTTTGCTCAGTTTGCGAATTCCAAAAGAGTCCCATCCCTAACATGTTAGAGATGCTAAGGAAAATCGCCTCCCCTCTCCTCTGTCTCTGTCTCTGTCTCTGTCTCTGTCTCTCTGTCTCTGTCTCTCTCTCTCTCTGTGTGTGTGTGTGAAAGAGAGAGAGAGAGAGAGAGAGAGAGAGAGAGAGAGAGAGAGAGAGAGAGAGAGAGAGAGAGAAAGGGGGGAAGAGAATTTGTGGTCTCTAGATAAAGAATCCAGGTTAGCCTTGAACTCACAACTCTTCTACTTCACTGTCCTCAGTAAATGTAGTAAAAATCTGGGTGAAGGAATCATGGTTGAATTTTCTTTTTGATTACCCAAAATTTGTAAAATTCTTTGTAACTTTTGTAGCTTAGGTTCTGCCATTTCTAGAAACTGAATATGAAATTCTTTTAATTAAGAAGAGCCCCTTCAAGGGATTCTGAGTGGTGCAATGACAGATCAGAGGAACTATTCCTCTCTTTCTGGGACAATGTGTCTCATTCCTTTATTCTTTCAACACCCTCTCATTAGCCAGGTGTGTTTGCTTGTTGACAACTGAGGAGCAAACTAAGGGATCAGTTCCACCCTGGAGCAGGAAGCCCCTGCCTCTGTCTCACTTGGACTCTTTCCAAGTACCACACTCACAGGAGTCATTTAAGGCCCGTCGATTCACTCCTTTGCCCTCCAACGCATGCGCCTGAGTTCCTGAGCCCAGCGCTTCTAGTCTCTTCCTATGGGTTTGGCTGTTTGGTACTGACTTGGACCTAATACAGCAGCTATTTAGAATCCAATTAGCTCTACTCGCCTCTTGACTGGATGCTGCATATGCTGTGCACACAGTAGGTGCTTTATAAAGATATGCTAAACCTGGGGCACAGAGGTATAATTTCACTCCAGGGCCTGCCTGCAATCTCCTGTTCTTTTCCTTGTAGCCTAAACTGGCACGTAAGCACCCAGGGCCTGAGGACTCACTCACATATTTGAGAGTCTTGAAGTAATCCAGACACTACAATCAAAGCCTAGGGGTAACGCATTCTTCTCAGCCTGGGTTTGGCCTCATTACAGTTGACCTTTGCCATTTTCCACCTCGGCATTTTGATATGGAAACTCTACTGTGAGGGTGTGTATCAGAACTCAAAGCCGCTGTCTAGAATTCTCTAGTCATACTCAGGTGCAAGCACAGTCGTGTCCAGAGCATTTTTAATTCGTATATTTCCTTGAAATACTACACATCAAAAAAAATCTAGTGCACAAGAAAGAGAAAGCATGATTTGACTTGCAAACTGTGACATCGTGGGGAAGCTGAGAAGAAGTAAGTTATGAGCAATGTTCAGTGGGAAACTTGATCCCAAGAGCGCTAACCTTTGGGTCTGAAAATTAGCCATGCCCAATACGTGCTTCCCAATACCTTTCTCTTTTGATTGCTTGGGTGGAATTATTTCTGTAGAAGGATCTGGTTAAGCTGACTCATTGCTATTTATAAATCAAAGCCAAACATATTCTTCGGTTCTGAATGTTAAATTTGACGGTAGCTACTCCACATTGTTTCAAGCGCAGAACTGTGCTCCTGGTAGCATCCACACAAAGACCTCAGGAGCCTTGGTGAATGATTAGAGTCCAGATGACCTCTCTTCTCTGTTGGTCTCTGCAAGAGCCTGAGGCATGGTGCTTATCATTTCTGCTATCTCCATTTCAAAGAGTCAGAGAAGGCTTACTGAAATCACACAGTTACACATCTGCATAGAAAAAAAGACTGATACTCTACTATGTAAAATATGTGTGCTCCATCTTTCCTGCCTGAAGATTTTTGCCTCCTAAAATCAGAAAATTGTATTTAGTCTGCTAACGAACCCATCTGAGCAGGGACTAGCTGCCTTGCAGCAGAAAGTATGAACAAAATTCTCTCAAAGATTCACATTTATTGAACGTCTACTGTGCCCCAGGTTAAGCACTAATAAATCAACATACGTACTTTGCCTTCACAGAATTAGCAGACCTCATTCTGGGATCCCCCCCACAAAGAACGACTGCCTTCCTTTGTGTCCCTTTGTAGTGCTCAGATGCCACATACCTTGTCAATGTTTCTGAACCGTTCCCATTGTTCATCTGTCCTGTTCACAGAAGACTGCTTCCTCAAGCCAGGGTCCCCTACCAGCTGCTGACCACTGTCTTTATCATCATTCCCTGCACTCATGACAGCTAATAGAGTGGCTCTAAAAAGACGGGCCTTAAAGAATGGATAAAGTGATCAAATTTACAGGCTCTTTGCCCCATCCAAAGCTTGCTTCTACTACTTAACTAGACAGAGACAATTTTAGTGCTAGGAATTGAACACAGGGCTATATGCACGTCTGGCAAGCATTCTACCGCTGAGCTCCATTCCTAGTACTTTTTTTAGATTTGAGTTTTAGGCAAGATCTTGACAATTTGCCTAGTCTGCCCTTGAACTGTCTTTGTGTTCCCAGGCAGGCCTTGAACTTGTGATATTTCTTCTTCAGCCTCCCAAGCAGCTGGAATTAGAGGCTTGGCTAGTCTGCAACCCTGAGCACTCCTCCCTCCCAGCTGCTCATCTGTTAGGTGGGAGTGTTGCTACCACCCATCTCATTGTGGATTTTAGTAGGGGACGCGTGTAGAATTCCTAGTCTAATACCTGGAACACAATAAACATTCTTTTAACACATACCAGCTATTATCATTATAATTTTGGTTGGAAAAGAGTTTGGGGGTCTTTGTGGGCTAGTGGACAATGGGCTGATGCTTAGGGGCCAGTAACTGGAACATCTGCAGGGCACATGACTTTGCTATAAGCAGCTTTACCACTTTAGGAGGAACTCCTATTTTGAGGCTTATGCAGAAAAAGACTTTATACTGCAACTGTTTTAAATTTATTATTTGTAAATGAACAGGTAAAAATTACACATATTTATCATGCGCAACATGACATTTAAAATATGTATACACTGTGGAATGATTAATTAGAGCTAATTAACATATGCATTACCTCACATATTTATCATTGGGACAGCTTTTTTAAATGAAGTTTCCCTTGCTGTTTTGGTTCTGGTTTTTGGCCTTATTCCAAAGCAATATGTGCTTATTAAAAAATCAAGGTATTAGGCATGATGATGCATGATGGTACACACTTTTACTTTCAACTATTTAGGAAGTCCCAACTGCTTGGGAGGCTCACCTGAGTTTTAGGATTCCAGATCAGCCCTGGCAATACAGTAAGTTATTATCTCAAAAAATGGATAAACAAATAAATTTGGAATGAACTGAGTATGCTAATATACATCTGGAGTCTCAGCATTTGGGATGTGGGGGGCAGGAGCATTAAGAGTTCAAGACCAGCCTTGGCTATATAGTGAGTTCATTGAGCTTAAAGGTAACCTGGGATAGATGAGACCCTGTCTCAAAAAAAGAAAATGAGGAAAAAAGTAAATAGAAAAAAAAAGAAATTACACACTCATAATCTCATAAGTCAGCCAATCTAATGACCTTATAATAAAGCTTTTTAAATAATTCTTGATGTATGTCACCTAATTCTTCAGTGACAAACTTTTTAAAAGCTTAGTTCTGCATCACAAATGCTGCCCATGTAAGCTGTCTTCTCCTCTTAGTGATTGCAAACAAAATTAAGATGAATATCTTTGCACAAAAAGAAGTACACACATCTATATACACAACCTTAACTATTCCTTTAAGATAGATTTTTTTCTTCCAGAAATTCAATTTCCTCAGCTAATTTAAGGCAGTTTTGGCTGTTGTTGTTATTGGTTGTTTTAGCATTGCTTGAGACACAGAGCTAAATAAAATTGACACATTTTAGAAAAAAATTTTAAGTGCTGAACTCCAAATACAAGTTGTGAAAAGAAGGCATGACAGTGAACGACTTTGCTGCTTGTGAGACAGTGACGGGATGTTCTGAGGCCAAACTGGGCAGCTCTGCAGCCAGTACAGTGCCCTTGGCTCCTGACTTGTCTTGCCACGTATTTGTGTGACCTTGGGCTCACATGTAACTTCTTCATATGAAATGCCTGCCTTGTCTTTTGCTTCTCTCTCCCGTCTCCACTCCCAGCACTCTCTTTCCTCACCATTCAGATCCAGCCAGCCTGGTGTACTCTCACCCCCTACCCCCCCCCCCCCCCCCCCCCCCCCCGCCGCTTCCTCCTTTGTCTCAAGACCGTCTTCACCTCTGCTCCTCAGCCCCCAACTCCCCAGCACATGCCTAAATAATTAGCACTGTTCATTTAGGGCTCAGGTCAGACACAGCTTCCTCCAGAGAGCCCCAAGTGACCATCTCTAAGGAACCAGGGGGAAAAGCCTATTTTGGTAGATTCCACACTAGGGACATTTTAATTCTTCCACTGGTCTATTAAGTCCTTCACTGCCACTGTGGTGCCTGGAATTAGTAAGGACTCCTAAGTTCTTGTTAAATGAATGACAAATGGATGAAGGAGTATAATCATTCCCGTCTCCCAAATTTACTTAGTACTGATTGTGTGAAATAAGTGGGACCTCCAGGAAGGTGAGGAAATGGTATCTCATAGCTTTGAAGGCAGTTGATAGTAACTTTGTGACAAGACTTTTCAATCACTTCAAACATCCTGAGTGTGGAGTTCTGCAGAACCTTTGTCTTTCCCTAAGTCTGCTGAAAGGTGAATTTCAACATCATAAAAGGAATCTCTGAGGACAAAGGGCTGCTTGTTCAAGACAGCTAAGCCCTACGATTAGCGGTGAGGCGCCATGCCTAAATGCTTCCAGGGCCTGGGGTCAGCTCATTCTAGACAAAATCCATTTTCTGGCCCCACACCTTGGACCAGAAGACAGGGAGGAAGTTGGGGAGAGAGGAAAAGGGGGAATAAAGAAAACTGACCTGCAAAAAGACTCCGGTGGTGTTGGGGGCAGGGGCGATAACTGCTGTGTTAAGAACTAGACAAGCTGTGTGTCAGCCCGTCCCACAGCCTGCAGAAGTTCTCCTTCAAATGTCTGACACTTTGCAGGTTTCCTCAGTGTTGCAGCCTTCAGCAGAGCTTATCAGAAGCACTTGGCCCTCGTGGCCCATGGACCAACTCTGTACTGCCTACCTCCTGGGGTACAGCCGAACTCTGAAGGCCAGATCTCTTAGTGGTAGAGATGCTCTACCCAAATGTTTTCCAGCTCTGTCAGTCAGGCACAAAGCTGTTGAGTGACACCAAGTATCACAAAGGCTAGCACTGCTCTCTGACACTTGGCTAGCAGGCTTCAGGCCCTTATTAGGAAATAGCTGGGCCACTACTGTTACCCCCAGTTAGTCCTGCCCCCAGGGCCATACCCTTCTGACCCCAAGACATTGGACTCCCCTCAATCACTTTGAACATTTTCTTTCTCTATGTGGCAGTTGTCAACTTCATTGTCTTAAAGGACAAGTTGAAACTAGATTCTAAAATGGTGATGTGTTTGTGTTCCTGACAGGTCAGACAATGAGGCAAATACAGGACTGTGGTCCCTGGAGAAGAGAGAAATGCATATAGAATTCACTGGAATCTTGCTTGTTGGCAACAGAGTGCTTGGCAAAGATTGCGGGGGGGGGGGGGGGGGAGGGGGTTCAGCTAGGACTCCTCAGCACCAGGATGGCAGGAACAGCAGGCAGGGGCCCTGTGCTGTGATGAAAGGTGAGAGGATGGTGTGGAGGTCTACCAAGGTTTCCTAGTGAGATCTGAGCTTGCTTTACCCAGAAGGGCTGCATTAGAGGATTGCCTGACCATGTGCGTGGTTACAAGGTGATTGGGAGGGTCTTCACTTGGCTGAGCTAGGGGGAGGTCTTTTGTTCTACCCCTTGGCATTCCTATAAAAGGCCTTTTTAGAAGAGACAGAAGGGGCCGGTGGATAAGAATCCAGGCCCTCCCGAGATTACCCTGTGTTCTGTTTCTCTCTCTTCTATCCTTCTATCTAAATATTTCTCACTTCACACTCCTCAAGAGTACCCTGGGGAAAATGTGAAAAGGGGCTTCCCACAGAGAAATGGGTAGGCTCCCAGAGGGTGGCAAGGCCTCAGCTAGCTGGAACTCTTCCCACGAGTGCAGCCTTGAAGAAACTTCCATCACCCACCAGACTCCAAAGCCAGTTGCCCTGTCCTCGCCCCACAAAGCTCCCTTCAGATCTTCTTGGGACTGGTTCCCTCCTCCTTTCAGCTGTGGGGAGTGAGGAGGCTAGGGAGGGCCAGCTGCAGGCCGGGCCTCTCCTCTGAACTCTGGCAGGAAAGCAGCCTGGCAGCCAGGTGACAGCAGATGAAGGGCCTCCAGTTGAGGGGGGCTGGGCGGTTGGTGGGATGAGCAACACCCAAACCACACTTGGCCTGCTGGCTGCTTGACAGATAGAATACAAGCGTTTTCTTTCTTTTTCAGTTGAATTTATTTTCCAAATCAACCAACCTTTGGCTGTGAGGGACAGAGAAAACTCAGTTCAAACAAAAGCGTTCACTGGGCAGCATCGGCCCCTGTAATGACAAATAAATCCCTGGCAAAGACACTGCTAATATTGTCGAGGCTGGGGCTTTATGATTCCTGGCTGATTTTCTGTGACCTGACCTTCCAAGTTCCTTCCTTTGGCCTTCTTTGCACAAGTGGGGGAGGTAGTGAGCTGCTCCAGTCCGTCTGTTTTTCTATCTACAAAAACCTTGGTTTTGAGGACCCAATATGGAGGAGTCTGCACGGATCTGCAGGGCAGATTAGAAATTTCTGAAAACTCAGGAAGCTTCACTGCTCATACCGCAATTCCAGAGAAAACCTCCTGCCTAAATACACAAAGCAGCCAAAGTCAATAGTCTGTGACTTGAGTCCTGGTTCACCTATTAAGCAGCAGTGGGATCTTGGGAAACTTGAGCTCTGTATGCAACCATTTCCATGCCTGTACAATGGACAGGAACCTAACATTTCTGACCTCAATGTCTTGGGCTCTTGTTGCTTGAACATAAGTCTCAGGATGTCTGTTCAACATTTAAACTTGGATGGGCCAGTGAAATTGCCACCAAGCCTGATGACCTGGGTTCACTCTCCAGGAGCAGTATGGTGGAAAGAGAGAACTGACACCTTCAAGTTATCATCTGACCACTGCACAGGTATCACACACAGTACATGTACACACACACACACACACACACACACACACACACACACACACACCACACAAAAGTAATAAGTAAAAATGTAATAA